TTCCACTGCGACTGGACATTTTCTACCCCATTCGGCGGCCAGTCTCCTGGGCTCGCGAGCCGTCCCGTCGGGTTTGAACAGCACATCGCAGTCGATCGCCAATGTTGTTCTGGATAACCTCCAGGGTACAATAAAGGCAGCCGACTCCAGGGCCACTGACAACATCTCCGGTCTGCCGCCGCCAAGTAGGTTGACTGTTTGCGCTTAATTTTAATGAGGTAGAAGTTAGGCAACTTCTCAAAACGTCCAACCTACTCAGTTGGCGTAGTGTACAGTTTTTACTTGTTAAATGAGCAGTTATTTTGCCATATAGGTTGTAAAATTTTATGTCGCACAGAAACAACTACGGTGTCAGTATAATGTCAGTATTACTCGGTAAAAGGTAAGTTGGTCGCCCACCTTAGATGCCCCTAGCCCCTACTTTAATTTTATTATTTTTAGCTTAGTTTATTTTTGAATTTATTAGTTTACTTGTTGGTTTAGTTTAGTTTATTTAGATACCACCAACGTTAGCTAAAGATACTTAAATAACAGCCATATACTACTCTAACTATACTAAGCTAAAGTTGACGAAACTAAAATAAAAACTAAACTTAAACTAAAAGTAAACAAAGAAACTGAATAACAAACTGAAGACTAAACTAAAATAATACTACCGGTTCCGTACGAGGGAATTGTGGGGCTGGGGGTATTTAAGGTGGGTGACCAACTAAACTGTTATCTACTATTCTTTTAATTATTCGTTACTAACTGATTGCTTCATTCGACATGGTTGTGTACAGTTGTATTGACATCAAAACGTAGACTGCACAACAATCCAAACCGTTAATATTTCTGACTCCTACTTGAGTGTGCGTTACACATCATGCTTTGGTTGATAACGAATGGAGGATGTAGAAAGTAAAAGAGGCAAATAGTACACTATGTAAGATCCTCTAGCTGCGAACCTGTCGGCATGCTGATAGTAGGGGACTCACTGATCTGGTTAACGAACATTTATGCCCCGCGGGAGCCCACTATAAGGCCCCCACAGGCAGTCTGATCGCGACTTGTAGACTATGATGTTGGCATGCTTCCAGTTTCCTGCAACTTACCCAATTGGGGTTGAACATTTCGACCTGAAACCATATTAGCCTTTATCAGCCAGTCTCGAATGGAGTCGAGTGTGTGCATGTGAGAGTTTTCATTGCACGAACCTGCCTTCGTCTAAAGGCCACATAGGAAAAACTGCGGCCGTTACTTAGAGGACCCCTCTCAATTTCCCCTCGAGTCTCTGCGTGGCAACGGTGTAGGAAGCTTTCACCTCGTCCGAATAAAGTCCTGAGTAAAGTCTGTATCAAGCACTTATAGGACTCTTTGAGCCAGTCTCAGGCGAATAGAAACATGATTCTGGCCTGTCAATTTCCTGCTAGAGGAGAACTTGTCAGAACTCGAATGGAGTGGAATGTGTCCGTGTGGGGATTTTTCATTGCACGAACCCTGAAAAAGTGTGGCTGTTACTTAGAGGACCCCTTCCAATTTCCTCCCGAGTCTCTGCGTGACAACGGTGTAGGAAGCTTTCACCTCATCCGAATAAAGTCCTGGTTTCGGAATCCCGCCAGTATTCTCAGGTGGTCACCATTGTCAAGTGGACTTGGTGAAGCGAGAGCTCCACTATGCGTGCAAAGGATTAACTCGTTCCGCTTAAAATGTTGTCGATCATTAGGATACTGGCGTGTTATTCAGACAGGATTAAGGCCGAGGGATGAGTTATTAGTCGAAGAATGTCCTAACTATCTAACACAACACACAGCTTTAAGTGGTAACATGGTCTGGCAGAAAACCAGCATGGGGGTAGGAATGCAAAATCTTTGATTATGTCGCCTCAGATGTCCCTGGAGTCATAAACAGTCGAGATTTTTATCTAAAACATACACAAACGGCGGGTGCAAATATACGAGCTGGTGAACGTCACTTTGCGCTGGACGGGCTGCAAATTAACTACTCGAATAACCAACAGGGCATCATTAAATCTAACCCTTTAGATTTTATTAGCGTCTCTGTCAATGGGTGTCTGCACAAGTGTCATAGGTCCCCAGCTCCAGCAATTTTCTCTGACTGAAATCTATACTGTCTACGTGACGGAAGGCAGCTCCTATCCTACGAATTAGTCTTATCATGGCTCCTTAAGCCGCAAGGTGGCTGACACCGACATAAATTGCATTAGCTTCCTTATTCTTTCATCCTAACATGCGTTATCTCTTTTTTCTATTGCATTTCCACAGGCAACTCTGACTGTGATCAGCTCTCTCCGCTAACCTGCGCCGTCCCACTCTCGGATTCCTCAAGTAGCAGCAGTAGTGGTGGTGCTGGTGGTTTCACTAGCTCCCACATCAGTGATGCGAATCCATTGCTGCTGCCGCAACATCCAGCCCT